ATATATATATATATATATATATATATTATTTATAACAAAAATACATAGAAAAAAAAAGATACACCACCATAACATAATCACATATATATATATATATATATATATATATATAGACTTGTGATCATGTGAGACCCATAGTTTTTTTGGAGACCCGTAAGATCAATTCTCAACTCTTGGATTAGATCTACAATCTGAATATTCATAATCACAAAATTGCCACGAGACTTCTCAATAATCACAAAATTGTCACCATGCAACTTTAAACCATTAGATCATTAGCTTATAAAGTTGATCAATGAACATAAATTGGTCTTACGGGTCTCACGAAAAACCTTTGATCTCACGTGAACCCAACCATATATATATATATGGGCACGTTCAAATGAAAACCGTGCATTTCTAAGAAACCGTGTAAACCAATTTTGACCAATAGGAAAATTCCTTTTTTCTAATTAAATTTAATCAATAAGGGTATTTCGGTCATTTACAATATTTTCTATTAAATATGGAAGTTATTAATAAATCTTAATTAAKGAAACRTAMTAAAKGAAATTGTATAAATGATAACATTTAAATATTTAATTATATTAAAATATTAAAAATTTGGATTTCATATATTGTCATRAGTTATAATCAGGARACGTGTCTTGATGAAACAATTGAATTATAGAATGAAATCATCAAAACGTAGATGAACAAAAAAATCCACAAAATGAAACAAATTTCATGAACGTGAAACCGGTTCATGTTGCAAAGAAATTAGGTGAACCGAAACATTTTTATAGTGAACCCGTTGCATTGATGGTGTAGTTAATCCTTTTTTTTTATGAGAAGCAAAATGAAACCGATGCATTTTAAAAAAAATTATGAAAAGGAAAATGAAACAGGTTTCATGAACGTGAAACCGATTCATGTTGCAAATAAATTAGGTGAACCAAAACATTTTTATGGTGAAACCGTTGCATTGATGGTGTAGTTGATCCATTTTGTTGATGAAAAGGAAAATGAAACCGGTGAATTTTGAAAATAAATTATGAAAAGGAAAGTGAAACAGGTTTCATGAACGTGAAAGCGGGTCTTGTTGCAAATAAAATATGTGAACCGAAACATTTTCATGGTGAAAATATTAAACATCTTAATTTTTAATATATATATATATATATATTTTTTTTAATTTTCTAAAATAAAGTAAACTAATCTCGGCCATTGATCAAAAAAATGGATGGATGAGATTGGTTTACACAAATGAGGCAGATTTTTATTTGAACGTTCCTCTCTCTCTCTCTCTCTCTATATATATATATATATATATATATATATATGAGCGATCAAATGAAAATCACCCTCATTTGTACAAAACGTACAAATCACCCTCATACATCG